AGCGATATGTCAATTTCATAATTAAAATGCGTTTGACCGTGTTCCGAAGGGCCCACGAGATTAAGAGAGAGCGAAAATTGAATATTTCAGTGGACGGATAAAAACGATCCCCAAAATTTACCTAAATGAAGTTAACAAGGAATCTCTCTGAACGTAATTAAAAGTTTACCGATGAATAATTCAAATCTCGATAATAATATAAATTACTAACTGTGAATTGTGCTTTTTCTCATATGAATTATATAAAAAATTGTAACCATTCAAATCTCTATGCGTGATTAAGTAACAAATAGTTTGGATATTTCTTAACATATCAGCCGTTACCTGTCCAATACTAACATAGGCATCCCCAAAAATAGGGGGGGGGGGGGGGGGTTTGCTCGTAGTTGCCACACTTGTCAGACGAGTTGACAACCGCAGTTAAGCCTTAATGATATTTTAAGAGGGACGCTACTATCCAACCCTCGACCATAATTTCCCTTAGTCATCTCTTACGACGCCCACGAGAAGAGGTTAAAATCAATCAAGAATATAAATAAATATGTGAACAGATCTGATAAATACATTCGTTTCAAATACAGACAGCCGCAAAACATCTGAGACACTGTTACAAAAGACCGATCAACTATCGGTATCTAACAATTTGCCCTTGAATTAAAATATTTCGAACCATGTCACACAATCATTTTTAACATTTCCGTTACAACTCATGATATCTGATTGATTGCCTTTCCCTATCGTAATGTCTAAGCCTACAATCAACAATATAAGTAATAAAATATATGAATGTATTTCTATATACGAAAATGCTTGGTATAAATAATATATACTCTTAAATCCATATTATTACAATATCGGTGTATCTTTCATCCGTTAATAAATTTATTATTATGTATGATACATAATAAAATAAGTAATATCGAAGAGCGAAGAAAGTCCAATTTGGACGCGAAACATAATGCTCTTAAGGATAGACCACCTACGGTCATCACTACATAGTATAAAACAAAGTCGCTGTCGCTGTCTGTCCGTCCCTATGTATGCTTAAATCTTTAAAACTAACCAACGAATTTTAATAGTAGTAGTATTTTTTATAAACTGTAACTAATTGAGATAGGTTCTCTAACTATGGTTAGGATTTCAGTTATTTTAAATAACCGTGCAACGGAACGTAAAACCGGATCATGAAACCAAACAAAAATTTGTATTTTCTACCTGACTGCCTTCGCCTTACAGCATTCTCAAAGGTAACTTTTGTGTAGACGGATACGCGGTTGCATGAAAATTTCAATATGTATTCGCATAGTTCGACTTGTGTTCCTTAATGAAAATTGTTTAGTTATGACTACTTTCGCTGATTTTCAGCTTATAGTCCTTTATTCATTACATAAATAATATATTCTACTTTCCAACAATATTGTAAGTGTGAAATTCTGTAAACAGGACTAAATGTATTTTGATTGGTACATGAATACTTACTTATTTAGGTATTTTATCCCAGATCATTCCGGGATATACTTATAATTTATAGTGAATCAACACCTCAGCCGTTAACTGGCCACTGCTGAACATAGGCCTCTCCCATTAGGAAGGTTTTACCAGTTGTCCACCCGCCTACCAAGCGTGGTACCAAATGCATTTAGCCTTTGGTGATTTTTAAAGAGGGACGTTGCTACCCATCCCTCTTCGACTCTTCTGACACCCATGGGAAAGGAAAGGGTGGCCTATTGTATATCAAGACCACACAGCGATTAATAATGAATATGAGCCTTTATTTTCCAGTCGCTTAATGTAACTGTATATAAATAGTAAGAATAGATGTTACATCTTTCACAAATGTAAAACGACAAATTTACTTGAAATTTGTGACAATTTTTTTACTTAATAAAAAAACCGCAAATATTGTTAACGTTTCAAGTGTTTAAATTCCGAAATTGAACAAGCTCGTTATATATTACAGTAGTACATTTTTAAATACAGAACATAGATATATAAAAGAGATAAATAGTGAATGAAGTGACCTTCGCACTCGCAAATCGGTCTCCGGTTTCCCTCTATTTATTTAGACAATAAGTTATTTTCTTTTGTGGTCAATTGTTATATCTATATCAATCACGATTCGGTCTATTTGATTTTGTGACTAGTCGCTGCACGATTTTTTTTTTTACTTTTAATTCTAAAGACCAAAATAATTAGCATATAAGCTGTCCGTAAAGGTAAAGCTGTTAACGGAACTCTCCATTGAATTATAATTACAATAATATTCTACTATAATTCTTTGATATACAATATAATACAAAAAAGAAAGTCCATTAGATTTCAAGGTCACTTTATTTTTAAACAACTTTTAACAAAGAAGATTCTGAATTCATCTGTCTGTGTTAAACGACTAGGTACATTGACATTTCTGATAAATATTACTAGAATTAATGGGGGTTTACTCCCGTATTAGTTAATCTCGTATTAATTCTGTAATCACTGAAGTGCCTTTAAAGTATTTTTATTTGCGGATAAAAAATTGGTTATTGCAAATCAAAACCAATTTATCGCCCAATTCCATGTTGTAATTTGGATTATTTTTAATGTATTGTGTAAATAGTTTGGTTACTAACAATATAATAATTGGCTTTTTAATATAGATTTAAGAATTTGTAGTCATTAAAAAAAATCTCCCTAAATCTCATAAAAAATTTGACTAAAATCGGTTAAGGGGTTTAATCTGTTTCGAGCATCGTTAAAATAAGATATTTACATACAATTTTATTAATACCCGTCAGCATTATTTAGGTTTAATTAAGTACCATTACAACATAAAACCAACTATTTGAATATGTACACAACATTACAATAAAAAAAAAACTATTTACACCAGATAAGGAATACATAAAAATATCATGTAGGCATATTTCATAATAGCGATTTAGTAAAATGTCAAGTATATTTGTGCGATTTCCACTTCTAATAGGTACTTACCTAGTTTTAAATAGATAAAAATTATAAGCGGTTTGTCCAATTTCAACTAAATACTCTTGCAATATGTCTAATCATGTGAAATAAGCAAAAAACCGCTTTTTATTAGCATATTAGCTTTTCTCTACCTATTTTTTTTTTTATTTCCAATTAACGCTTGCGTTAATTGAGCGTAAAATGTATCAGAAATATCGATACAGTCCATCTGAGTAGGTATCTAGTAAAAAGAAGTATTTACTAGAGGGTAAGGATTATAGTAATAATAACCATATTCCCTGTTAGGTCGACCTCCACGCGGTTTCTCCTAGGAACAATCGTGATTAATTCTTGATGAATTCGTCACGATGAGCTAACTAACATGACTTCATCGTCATCTTTCGTCACTCACTGGTACTCTTCCAGCACTATATACCGAAAGCTAAGTTAACATTCCTTTTTCAAACCATTAAAATAGAAGGGAAAGGATTGTTGGTAATACGGACTGCCAGTCCTATTACTAACAATGTACCCTGTCAGATCGACCTCCACATGGTCCCTAAAAATTATAGTGGTGAATTCCAAATCATGCCAGCATATGCCAATAGCGCAGGCGGGAATTTTTTTTCAATCAGTGACGATAGAATTCACTGTGAGATATATAATATGTTTGTATAGTTGAGGATGAAAGTAGGTTGATTAGCTCATCGTAACGAATTCAACAAGAATTAACTACAATAGTTTTCAGGAGGAATCGCGTGAAAGTCGCCCTGATAGGGTGTTTTGATAGCAATGGAGCTAGAGATCCCATTACTAAGAATCCCTTTCCAACCGCACAGGCGGGGTTACCATTTCATGCAATAAAAAAAAAAAGGAAAATAAATTTTTACGTTTCATTCAGATCTGTTCAGCCATTTAAGAGTAATTGAATAAGAAAATTTCAAAGAACTTCACAAATTTCCCATTCAAATATAATATTAGTGATATTAATAGGATAACGACTTTTTTCTTTCAAAAGATACAACATTATGTAGGTATGTATTATATACTTACCATTATGACAGCTTTGATATATGTATGTATATAGAAATTACATTCTATTTTTAAAATATGTGCAAAATTCCTTAAAAAAATTTACTATATATCTATACAATAACCATTTCAATACCATACCTCACCATATATTAATACCAAACTGCATCACCTGCAACTTATATATACAACCTTAGTATCAGGCGCTTGCAATGTGCACACATGCTTATTACAGTGCAAATTAAAACTAAAGGGTCACCAATAAAACATATTACAATTCACGATATTTATTTATATAAAATATAATTACAATGGATCTATTTACAACCACATCCATAATAAAAAAAAACAACTACCTTTATACAATACAAAATTATTTCTTTTAAACCCTTGGGCTATATTCTTAACAATCAAGTTTTAATGAAATTGTATTAACCTTATCCAGGTGCCTACGTGTGGTGTGGGGATTCATGCAAAAACTATCCATGCACTTAAAGCTTCCATTAATTAACAAATAAATTATATTGAACTATACAGGTCTTTGTGTGTCATCAAAAAATTATATAGATTTAATTCAATGGAGTAATGTAGTGAAAATAAAAAATAATGAAATCTAAAAACAAAGAGCAATTAGAAATGTATATACAGGTTGATATTGAAATTTAAAATACCTTCTCAAGGTTGTATCCTGCTATTGATACACAACATGTTCTTCTAAGAAAAAAAAAACAATAACAACAAAACAATTGTTTACCTCTTATACTAACATGGCTTATCCAGCTAAATTAGTAGGAGAGACTCCAAATATTTGTCATTTTCTAATCACTTTCTTAAAAGGTATGATGTTTTTGATATCATTCTATATAAACTTAAATAGACTAATAAGAATAAACTTCTTTTCTTTGAGATTTGATGTCACACAAGGATAATGTATAGTATAATATTGTACCTAATCCAAGCAAATTAAAACAGAACAGTTAATTTGTACTAAGTTGACTAGGTTCATCGTCCATATGGTTTACCTTGGGAACCGGGCGGGACAAAGCCATATCCTGAAGCGCCTACAACGACGCCGCTAGTCTGGGATGGGTCTCCAGGCGGGGAGGGGGGGAACACTACTGGGCCTGGAAAATAAATTGTATAAATTACAATAAATGAAAATGTAATAATTTTTATTCTTGTATATTTAATACAGACCGAAGTCAATTCTACCGCACAAATAAAAATTCAGTTTATAATGAGAATATAGCATGACAATACGGAAGCAAAATGTAATCAATTAAAATAATTTAATATATTATTTAATATATGAATTAATTGTCCCAACAAGAAGAAACTCTTAAATAAAAAAAAACACCAACGTCAATCGTGGCAAAACCAGTTATTTTGATTTGTTTTACCGAACCGAATTTGATTAAGTACTAAGTATGTCCTTTCGGAAAAAGAACGTTTTCAAAATCGGTATATAAATGACGGGGTTATGAGGTAAAAAACAAAAAAAATCAATCGAATTTTTTATCTCCTACTTTTTTTAAGTTTTTTTAACCGATTAAAGATTTAGTAATAATAGATACCATTATACTTCTTATAATGCGACATCTAATTTCAAACTGAAAAGAACATATAATACTATTATTTTTGTAAATAGTAATAATAATTTGAAAGTCCCCCTTTTTCAAATTTGATTTTTTTTGACATAACCTTGTAATAACTAAGAAGATTTAATACCTTAATTTAAGGAGTATTTAATTGTCTACTAATCACAATTTATATTATTAAGCTAGCATTATTGTTTTTCGAGATTTATCGGTTTTTTAAGTGCCCTGGATTCATTGCTTTCGAGTGTATTTTATATATAGAAAACACCCAAACCAATACAAAACAAACATACTCATGAATACAAAATATTTATATGGTACAGTAATAAAACCCACGCAGGTGAGATATACATTGCTTCAGTGTGTTAATCACTAAATCACTAAGTAGTGACAGCAAGAAAAAATCCCCAACTCTTACGTATCTATGGATAAATATGAATGGCAAAAGATGACTTGAAAAAACCGGTACGATCCTTTCGACAATTTTTAATAACATAATATTGTTATAAAACGAAGCTTGTTTAATCAATTGCTATAATTTATTTACGTTTTCACTTACGATAATCGCATTAATGTTATGTGCATATTACGTAAAGTATCAGTAATCAAAACCAGCTTAAATATGAATTCTGCACAATCTGAAATTATAATTACATTTTTATACTTAGTAGATAATATTTGTGACAGAAAGTAGTAATTTATTTATGTAAATAAAAAATAGCCACATTTCCGAGCTATTGCGTAGTTACTAAGCTGGGACGGAAGCAGTGCTATAGGAAATCAGATTACAAACATCTAAGACCCATCTTAGAACACCCATACAAGTTAATTTCTTAATTAACCCATTTAAACGTTATTTACAAATTTTATAAATGTTAAAATACAAGCGGACTTGACTAAATTTAAATTACGACATAAATTGTGACGTAAATGTCAAACATATAATTTCCGCAATCGTAAACGGATCTTCTTTTAATTTTTATTTTTATTAATCTGTTTATAAATAAATATTAATATTTACTACAAATAAACAAAACTTGTAAGATGAATAATAGATGGCGCTATTGACACAAAATAAATATGAATACGTCCCTCTTAAAACATCATCAAAGGCTAACGGTAGCGGTTGCCAATCCGCCTGCTAAGCGTGGTAACTACTGGCGAAACCCCCCAAGGGGGAAGCTTTAGACCAGCAGAAGACAGTTAAAGGCTAATATAATGATGACATATAAATAGGTTTATTTTTACCATCGCAGTGGAAATAAAAACTAAATTTTCAAATTAAGATACTGTGTTATAAGGAACCACACAAAAAAAATTGGGACCCATTTATAAAAGTTTATTTCTTGCACTGACTTCCAAAACCATTATCTATATTTAAACTCCGAATGGACTTAAAGTGAGTTTAGGTTATGAAATAAACTGTGACATTTATAATGTACAACTTCCGTACCTACTATTTACGCCTTACGCGGAATTTTACTGTCCGATTTATTTGCAAATGAACTTGTATGAATTATAACTGATAATTTCCTTGCAAATTAATCAAAAACAAACGAAGTTGCAAAAGATGAATTGAAAATTCTCAATGAATTCAAATCATTTAAGATTTTGTTAAATAAAAGCATTACTGGCAATAACAAAGATTTTGATATAATTAAAGTGCTAAAAAGGATTCATTAAAAAAGATTAGAATCAGTACAGACAAGTAATACGCATACAGACAAATCCTCAATTTTTTGAAGACTGTTTAAAAAAAGACAAAAGTTATTAAGATTTGTTTTTAACTAGCCAATAATAAATATTTATTTAACTTAAGCGCGTTATCTAAAACAATATTCTGTTTCCATCTATTGTACATAAGAAAGAAACGGCAAAACACAATTCAAATTACACCACGAGCATTCTAAATAATTACAGTAGCTATGTTACAACATATACCCAAAAAACAAATACATTTAATACTTTCACGGCTACCTTGATTTAGTAAATTATATATTGGCTGTAGACATGTTAATGTTTAGAATGTTAAAAATATCATTGAACTGAATATAAGCCTGTTTTACAACATGGTCAATGGGCCTAGGCAAAAAAATAAACCAATTTTTTTTATACCTACTAGAGGTAGGTGAGGGGAGGGCTTGGTATTAATGCTGACTACCAGTACCATTGCTAGCAATATACCCCGTCCAGTCGACCTCTACGTGGTCCCCCTGGAAACCGTCGTGCTGAATTCCAAGTGTATTTATCACGATGGGCTAACTAACCTGCTCTATCGTTTTCACTTATCATTCACTGGTTCCCCGCCGGTGTATACCGATAGCACAGGCGGGGTTACCATTCTATAATCATCCATTAAAAAAAACTAGAGGTAGGTAAACGATATCTTATTCGTCGTCTCTATATGACAAATAAGATACTGGTTGTATTTATTTTTATTGCAGATATAAACTTTACCATGGACATCACAGCTTATATTGTGTCGTTAATTCCTGTGATCTAAGACGTTAGATATATCTATACCTGATATCAAAAATTATTTTTATTTCTTATTCTATAGGCCAAAACACAACAAAATAAGTTTCACAACAAAAATATGTAAAGCTATTCTATCGAGTTTACTGTAATCAATCTAAGAGTAAAGTATTTAAAAAATAACCAAGTTTTGTTGAAATTACTCACAGAAACACTCTAAGTGAAATTAGTAACGAGTTAAAACATTCAATGTCAAATGATTGAAATGAAATTGAGCATTAGCAGACTATCCTATAATTGTATTAAATATAAGTTAGTTTACATTTTCGACAAGATATATTGAAGCAAACTATTGCTTTACTATTTCAGCTAACGATACTTTAATGCAATTCAATTCAAAGTATAAAAATATTGCATTCTCTCTCTTTCTCTTCATGACGGGAAATGAACATTTAGCATTAATTTCAACAGTCAAGGATACAATAAAGTGCAGATACAAATAAAGTATGCAACTCGTTTTATTGCACTTTCGCTTATTTTAACCAAAACCGATTTAATATAGACTAAATAGGTATAGTTGTATTCGTGTTTCTTTAACATTAATTCTTGCCTTTTCCTGTATTACAATTAATTTTAACAGGACAAAAGGAAATGTTGAACTTAATTAACATGTTATAAACATATCATTATCCTTACTAATATTATTTATATAATAAACGTAAAAGTGAGTTCGTTTCTTTGTTTGCTACCTCTTAACGCCTTAACGACCATAATTGACTACTCATTATAAAATTTGCTATAAATGTACTAGATATATAAAATGAAGAAAGACATAAGCTACTCTTTATCCTAGGGGGAAGGGATTGTTAGTAATGCGGGCTACCAGTCACATTGCTAGCAATATACCTTGTCAGGTCGACCTCCGCGCGGTTCCCCTGGAAGCCATCGTGCTGAATTCCAAGTGTATCTATCATGGCCTGACTGACTGAGCTTTTTTATTATTCATTCCCCGTGCCCCCCAACGTATACCGTTAGCGCAGGCAGGGTTACCATTCCATTATCACCCATTGAAAAAAACTCTTTATCCTGATCGGTCAATATATCCCAATGGTTATAGTAAATCATATAAGTAACAAAGGTTTCATTAACATGTTACTGATAAATCTATAGCAATAACACCAGAACTTAAGAACAGATTAATAATAAATATAAGCTAGGAGTGTAAGTAAATCAGGTACACTATAGTAATGAAAATTCATTACTACTTTGTAGTTAAACTCATTTCTCACGAACGAAAAACCCAACTAGCGACCAACAAATGAACCGAAAAATTCTTAACGCGGCATTTCCGTATCGTGAATATATATAGATACTACCTGATAGATATCAGTGGCTTTGCCCACGTCCAGTTAATAAGTTACTAGTAGTTTTTTTTTTTTTTTATTATAGTTATTATAAGTTATATATATATATATATATATATATATATATATATATATATATATATATATATATATATATATATATATATATATATATATATATATATATATATATATATATATATATATATATATATATATATATATATATATATATATATATAACTTATAATATATATATATATATATTTCAGAAAAAAATTAATGATCTGTCCCATTCATGATTCTTACCCGACCCAAAGGTCCCCATGACACTTGCGGCATTTCCGCGTTGGATTGCTAGAGATATCCTTTGAGCCAGATACGAACCAGAACGGCAATCATGGCTAATGATGAATGTTATTTTATTATAATGTTATATTGTAATGTTTAGTAATAAATCTGAAATAATTTACTTTTTAATTGTTACTAAAAATTTGAAATTAAATGATTGTAACTTCTGTTTTTAACATTTGCATGCTTGATCTTGAATTTGTAAGATCTAATGTTTTATACTCAAAATCATAGCAAACAAAAGTATTATTATTATCATCAATTCACTCTCAGACATATTACAAAAGTCGATTGCTTGGGTACCTTTGTCCCATTCGTGTTTCTACCGTGAAGCAG